TGATAATACTGAATGATAATGATAATGATAAAAGATAATAATAATGGTAGTTATGATAACAGTAATAGGAAAATGATAATGGTAATTATGCTACTATTACTACTACTACTACTACTACTACTACTACTACTACTACTACTACTACTACTACTACTACTTCTGCTACTACTACTAAAAGGATAATGATGATAATTGATAATGATAATGGTGGAGCTGAGGATGATAATTGCAATATGCAGTTATATGTTTATCTCTCTCTCTCTCTCTCTCTCTCTCTCTCTCTCTATATATATATATATATATATATATATATATATATATATATATATATGTATATGTATACATATATATATATACATATACATATATGTCTGTGTATGTATGTATCTATCTATGTATGAACGTGCGAGTGCGATTTAATAAATCCCTAAAAGAACGTTCCCGTTTCTGGATGCATCTGGATTCCACCGTCTGCGTCGCTCGCATGTTTACAATCACAACGCGTGTGATCTCCAACCAAGAGGCGAGGTGCACGCACATCAAATCATAAGGTAAGTTGAGTCTGTTTTTCATTTATTGCTGTGTTCTTGTAGGTATAAAAACATGATATCATTGAGGAAATTATGGAAAGTTTATTTGTAGGGAGAGGAAAGTTCTTAGAATATGAAATATAGTTTCGTTGCATTTTCGATCAGCAAACGATAGAAAGTTTTGGTCTTCATCACGTAATAAATCTCAAAGCTATTAATTGAAACATTTGCACATGTATTTGCTTCTAATAATGAGCGAGATAATGAATTTGATCACAATTACCCTTCCTCATCTGGGGAGTTTATGGTTGCATATGACATCTTAGTCTGTTAATAGATAAATGATTTCAATATGAATTACCCCATTGCGTTTTACATTATTTATAAAATGTGTTGGTATTTTTTTTACCAAGAGAGACTCACCCTCCAGAGACGAAGTGATAAAACCATGGTCTCGTGTAAACCCAAAAATCCAAACCTAACTTTTCCTACCTTCTATTTATATCCTTGACAGGAGGGAAAGCCCCACTGTACCCCCCTTAATAAATACTTCATGCCAACTCATAGCAAATGGACATTAAGAACTGTGTGAGGGTGTCGTGGACTGCGGTGATATGTAAGAGATATATTCATCATTTCACTGTAATCATGGGCCAGACTGTAGAGTTTAGTCTGTGCGGGGAACACGCACAAATGTAGTTCACGGGTAACTTTCTGCGCATGATTAGCTCTTTTTTTAATCATCTTCCAGGCATGCAATTCTTTTGATCTTTCTGTGCAATTGTTTCAACATCCATCTGCAGATCCATCCCTGCCAATGTAGACAAAATGATGTTTTCCGCACATGAAAAAATTTAATATTCCCTGTGTAAGAAAAATTCTTTGCAGTCTGGATTATGGGGCTGCGGCAGTTGTACCTGTGTTATTTATAACTATTTCTTATGCTTTATAAGATGACATTATCTGCTTCTCTCTGTTTCTGTGCATCACTGTTGGTAACAATATGTTAGGACCTGTCCTAGCATAATAATGCCCCTCCCCCCCCACACACACCTGTATATAAATGCGCATGGTGCTTATGCACTTGTCATGTAAAAATACATTTACCATGTTTGTATGTGTTGCTCTAATATTTTTCTTCCACTTCTTTGTGTATAGGGTACCTGTAAGTGATTTGGAATGCCTGCAGTTGGGAAGATGGGAGGTAAGGAGAAAAAGAAAGCCACAAGTGTGAAACGCAAAAACCCCATTGGAGAGCCTGCAAAGGATTTTGCCAGCCCAGAGAAGAAAGCTAGAAACGACAACAAAACATCAGCCAAGAAGAAAAAACCTCCCATCAATGAGAATAAAACTGCCAAGAAAGTTTTGCCAGAAAATGTAACTAGTTGATATCTTTCAGTGTGACTATGTATGGATAAATGGATATTAAAAGTCTTTAGCTTGAATATATGTAAATGTAAAGTTCTTAAGCTCATAGGACATTGTTGAGAACAAACTTTAAGAATGGTTTAGAACTAGACATTTCTTTTTTTTTTTAGAACAATTGTTTTTTATTTTAGCAGAATCCTCAAAAAACTGATCAGGAGGTTGTGAATGAGAGTAAGAAGCAGCAGAAGAAAGCAAAGGTCGGTAAAGATAGTCAAGCCAGTGCTGTCAGCAAAGTGAAGCCAGCCAAAAAGAAAAGTAGTCTTGTCAAGGAATCAACCAAGGACAGCAAAACTGATGAGGCATCTTTAGATTCAGTAAGTCTCTTTCTATTTCTCTTCTGTTTATTTATATATTTATTAATTTCATTTTGATACCAGGGAATTTCTGTATTGTTTGCTTTATTAACTGAATTAAAGAAGTGTCACTACGACATCAGTTAAACTTTTCACGTAAAACACCTTAGATAGGATTATATTTACAAAACACATGAAAGTTGGAATGGTACATGAAAATGGAAGGTCATGGCAGTTGAATGTATTCCA